CCCAAAATCCCCAAAAAACTATCTACACAGCTCAGCACCCTACAACCTGATGAACTGATGCAATGACCAAAGACACAAAGCTAAATATTGCAGGTTTATGGTTTCTTAAAAATTATGCTGGACAGAAATGCATTTGTTTTTGTTTTTCCTCTACCTGGCATAACTTTAATATATTTTTGGCTGCATGTTGCAGCTTATTCATTTACCCTATAAAAGACAAGATAAATAGAATTATACTGAATGCAAAACCTCCTTTTGTCTCCTTGAAAACTAGAGTATTATAAAAAATATACATTGATATTAAATACAAGATGATAATAAGACTCTGCCCTTCCCATATTTCAGACCAGAAAAGGAACTCTGACTGCACAGAATGCATGTTGATAATAAATGAATGTGAAAGAAGCTGTTAATTAGAGCAACAACTAGGTCACTTAAAATTTCAGATCAAGGAAGTTAATCACACCATTTACCATTAGACCTCATTGGTATTCACAGAAACATTTATAAAGCCTCCTAACATTAGAGTTTAAAATTGCTCTAAGCCCACCTGAGAGAGCTCATCAAGTACTGCTGCATAAGGACCAAAAGCATTAGCTTTAGATAGCAAAACTCATGCATGTAAATACAGAGACAGAAGTTCACTTTAAACAATTATGTTGAGTTGATAATGCAAAATAATAATTTCTTAGTTGAAAGGAAGGTTGCGTAAAGCTCGGGAAGATTTAACTTAGCCTTTCAGTTTAAAAAATGTCCTTAGGCTATGATAAAAAAATAGAATCCCAGGTTAAAGTCAGAAGAGTAAGGAAGGTTCAGTGGAAGCAGCAGACAGACTTCTGAGGCTGTTACTGCACTTTTTTATAGGTTTACGTATTACAGCTTATTTCTACCTAGGGCTCGGATCCTGATTTTCTTCACAGCCTTAAATGACCTGTATCATTCACGTTTCAAAGTCAGTTTTTCAGGCCCAAACATGAGAAGAAAAGTGTTTTAAAATGATTTTGAGCAAGCTGTGTTTTGTGTCTTTACAGGTCATTTATAATGCATCGAAATGACAATTACATTAAGCTCCACACAGCGACTCATAAAACAGCAAGTGGTAGTAGGAAAGAGCTGAAGAAGAGGATAGGGTATATCTGTCCAAGAAGGGATTTATAAATCAGGATCAGAGAACACAAAACAGAACGAGGAGCCCTAAACATTATCATTATTTTCTTTAAAGGAAATACTGACAAAGAGCAGTGTGTGTACAGAGCTGGAGAGAGCGATATTGATGGGTCAATTCCCCTTCAAAGACACATTAGTTTTTTAGTACAACTTGATTTAAATGAAGTCAGATTAGAAAGCAAAAAGAAATATGAAAAAAAAAAAATTCAAGGCAGCACATGGTAATTAAAATAATTTCCAAGAGAAGGCAAACATAAAAAATGGTATAAAAGCTTTGTATTTTTTTTTTTTTAAATTGGGTGGAAATTTATGCTTTGTATTTTTTTTTTTTTTTTAAATTGGGTGGAAATTTACCAAAGTTAACTTGTGCTATAAATCCAAATGGAAAAAAAATTAAAATACCTACCAGCTGTGCAACAGATAAAATTCCTATAGCCTACTGTATCAATTCTCATTTAAATAATTCACGCATAGACATTAAGGTCTAGCTGGGAATTGTACCAGGTTGGCAAGGCAAATAAGTTAGTAACTTGCAGTCACTATCATTTTCAAAGCTTAAGCAGAAAAGGGTTAACATATAGACTTGCTTAATTATTAGAATTATCACTCATTGTAAATACAATGTATAATGGCCAGAGGCTCCAGTATGAATAAAAGTTTCATTACTCTAAATGCTTTATTCCAGGAGAGCAAGGTCTCTGCTTTGCATTTAGAATTTAAAAGCCAATGAAACAGGTAAGAGGTGAGAAATCTTTTTTGAATAAATGATTATAGTAAAATTTGGATATTTCTTTCTATAGCCACACAATGTCTAATTCTTTTTTGGCACTAATATGCTTTAAACAAGCCTTGTGCCTTTCTTTTGAGGCTTCTTTAGAACATTGCTTGTAGAGCAAGGAATAACTAGAGGATCAAAAAGCTCTAACTCTGTGGGGTGGTGTACTTCTTCCATCACATCCCAGCCTCAGGAACGGAGTTTACACTCATAACTGTATTTAATGTAACAGGATCATCACAGCAGTAGTGGAAGGAGATACACATAATCTTAGTAGGTTAGAGACCTGTTTTTTTTCCTAAGTTGTCATGAAACGTCACATTTTAACGCAAAGGCATCATAAAGCACCGAGCTCATGGTTAGATGTAAATGTGTAATACTGGAACAGAAAGATATATAAACTTTTACCGCATCACATTTTATCCATGACTTAGAAAAAGCACACGTATTTACTTGAAGAAGGAGCTGGGGCTCTCCTCCCATTATATTTCAAAACAATGTTTTTCTTCATTTAAAGGAGAAAACTTAATAACAACAATAAAACCAAATGAAAACTTTCTTTGTTCTCGGGGCACTGCTACCTCTTCAAAAGATTGTCCTTCGGGTACTACAGCAATATTTTAAATTTGACAGCTGCTCTGTTGAGACATTACTACTGATAAAACAAAGCTTTGTCACTCCAGCTCCAATATAATAGAGATGCAGTCACAGATCAGCAAGAGAAGAATCAAGGGCAGTATGTGATGCATCATTCTTGCATAACTTGTTTACCAAAAATCCTATTGCAACTATGGTGAAGACCAGCTGAAGCACCTAAATATGGCGATGAGGTTAATCTAATGAATGGATGAATGTTTAAGAACACTGCACAGTTTATTTTAAGATGAGAATGTATTCTTTATACTTGCAAGTCACACAGTCACTGCAATATGTAATATGCAAGCAAAAAAATACTGCTCTTTCTACTTCCAATAATATTTTTGTTTGTGTAAAATGACGCTTAGTAATATGCAAGCAAAAAAATACTGCTCTTTCTACTTCCAATAATATTTTTGTTTGTGTAAAAAGTTACACTTCCTTCAGGCCTGCCTCTTCCTTTCTACTTGCATATGGGATTTCAAGAAAATACCCATCATGTGGTATCAATAAATGGAGGTCTATTAAGCAACACTTAGATGACTCAAAAGCTTTTTTTTTTTTTTTTTTCACATTAATGAAAACTCTTAAAGCCTTTCCAAACAAATACTAGAATCAATCAATCACTTGAACAAGGAAATACTTGTGATGAAAAAGCATCTGCAGAGATATGTAGCATATGTAACATTTGAAAGCAGCAGGGTCCAAAACCAGTTTAAAACACTGTCACTTTAACATAGGAAAAGGGAAAAACAAAATAAAGGTCAGAAACCTGGGCTGAGGAGTTGTACACAACCAGTATACACCCAAAAATACTTGGACCTTTTCTGCCAGTTCCTTCACGTTCTGAAAGCACACATACTAAAAAAATCCAAAGGATAGCGTCTTCTTGTTTGAAACAATCTGGTAGTGGAGACAGTCTGAGAAACAGTGACCTTTACCACTACTAAATCTTCACGTGGTGCATAGGAAGAGCACCCTGAATGTCAAGCGAGCTCCTGAGAAGAGGTATTTACTGCCAAATCTCACTAAATTATGGAAGGAAAACTTGTATCTACTGGAACAGTTTTATATCAAGATACGTACAATATTTACCAACAAGTAAAAAATGAACTAAATACATTCCTCTTAAACGAAGTAATCCATCTGTCAATAGCACAAACTAGATTCTGCTTATGTTTTAAAGAAACAGAACATCTTGCATATCATTGCACTTACCCTTAGTTGTTCTCTTTCACAATTCATCTGTTGCTTTGAACTCTACATGAGGAAAAAAGAAAAAAAAAAACAAACAACTTTGAAAGCATGGCATTCTTGCCACAACAAAGCTCCTAGGTTTACGTATCTTACCAAATAAATATTGCAAACACAGCCTTGAGTCTAAACACAATATTGTATAGTGGATCTAGATAGAATCACTACCGCAAAATATTATTTTCTCACTCATTATTTTAAATTTACAAAGGTCAAAATGAACCTAACACCAGAATCCATCACAAGTCTGAGGTACAGAAGCATTTTTGAGATTTTAAGGGTATCATGGGCAGTTCAGTTCAGGAAGAAGCTTTCCCCTTTTTCTGTTCTATCACAAGTCATTGTATTTCTGAATATTTTCCCACTACTAAGATACCATGAGATATATTCACAGCACACTTTAGAAATAAAGATATAGAAGCTTCAAGAAGTGATGAAACTATTCCTATGACAACTTCCTGGTATAAAAAAAAAAAATCTGAAGAAGATTGATTCCAGTGCGTGTTTTTTTCCATACTACTGTCTTTATGTTCTGCCCGGTTTATGAGAAACACTCCTAGAGTGTGAGAGCTGGTTGCTAAGCAAGGCCTCACTACCAGGTAACAGCAGGGGTGAGCCATCAGTTAACGGCAGCACAAGTTGTGAAGCCACCACTCTGCTGAAAAGAAAGGGACTCCTCTAGGAAGAGCTCAAGAAACCTAACAGCAGCACCAAAACACCCCGTTCTACCTCCCTGGTTTCTAACTGAATCCTGCCACCAGGGCCTCTTGAACACAAATTCAAAAGCTCTACTCAGGTGCTCAGGAAGGCCTTCAGATGTTCATTTGTCCAACCTGTAATGAGAGGGGGTTTTTTGCCTGGTTGATTTTTGTTTTGTTTTTAATCAAAGTACTTTAGAATGCTTCTAGAATTATTAGTGAATATCATTAGCGTTGCCATTTCTGTAATTAGTGTACCTGGCAAACACAATTCACAAAACATGAAAAAGAAATCTGATTAAATGTTTTCTTATTTTCAGAGGTTCAGAGTACCCTTTTCACTACTTTGCACTTACAAAAAGTTAAAACATGAACCAATGCCCATTTGTATGAGACATTTTTACTCTCTTGCAGTGATGAAAAGGGGAGCTACTCAGGCAGTTAGGTTACGGTTACCTACAAAAGAATAAAACTGCCAGCCCATTTTTCAACACAGAAAAATGAGGCCTAATAAATAAGTTACAAGCTAAGCCTTCTATATATATAGCAGAAGTTTTACAACAGAGTCCCTGTACAAAAATACAAATCTAACAGCAACAAATGCTCTTCTGATATGTTTCTTAATGTTCTCTAGCAGGGAACAAAAGGTAAAGAAATTAAGCATAGGTCTATTTACAGTCTTCCCCTAAAGAATAAATTAAGTAGAGCTAAAATGGCTATTTCTTGCAGACTAATTATTTCGTTCTTCAAAGTTCATGTCTTCACACCATTTATAAATTACTTGAAGATTATATTAATGTGCATTATAAGTGTACTTACATAAGTCTCAAGAGTTAATTTTAGATCTGGATCTGCTCTAGATGCATCTACTCATGTTGTTAAAAAAAAATAATATAAAAACCAAGTTTGAAGTGAGTTTGGATTTTTTCATTCATTCAGGTTTTTTTAATATTATTGTTTAGGTTTTTCTCTGTGTAAGCCTCCACACCAGAGATTTTAACTCAATTTTTCAGAAAAAAAAATATCAGTTGAAATGTGAATAACTGTAGTTTAGACAATGGTCTTACACATGTGAAAACAAACCAGTTTAAAATCATAGCCATCAAAAGTTACCCACTCTCTGACTGCAGGATCTATTCTATGAATGTACCAACATCACATCACTATTTCCTTACTCAGTTTTGTCTTGAGCAGTTGTAACACGGGACAGATATCACTATGGTTTTTTCACAGTTAAAAGGGTGCACAAAGAAATGAAGAAAGTTATTTGCCAAACTAACAGCACATGAGCTCCACTTTGCATATCGACCAACATTCGGAATGATTTGTCTTTATGATATTTCACTGGTCAGCTTCTTTGGATAAGGCTGCCGGTCTTACATTCTATAATTTGTGTTCTAGATGTACCAGCTTTTTTTCTGGAAGAAATGTCCAACCTCTGCCATTAATTCCCGTATTTCTCAAGGTACTCCTCAGCCATTAAAAAAAAGAAAACTGAACATACAATGTGGTGATTAATTGAAGAAAACAAAGGGCAAAAAGGAGAACATAATAGAACACACATGTTACAGAATGCTGGAACATTGTGGTTGCTTTTTGTTTAATTCAACATTATTTTATCAAACTTGCTTTTCAATCTCTTGTCAAATTTGCCTGTTTTCTCCAGTCAGATGCCTAGAGAGAACAAGTCCTTCAACAGGGGCTCATAACTTACCTGCAGAACACAGAAATGGAACCTTTGTAGGTATTAAGTACTTCAGGAGTAGTAGAGTAGCAATGTATTTTAAGGCTTCAGAAGCAGCCAAAAATGTGATCATGTAGAAAAGATGTTCAGCATAAAAATCAACAGGATATAAGGGTTATTAAAAAGACAATACTTTTGGGAAGAGTTTCTGAAATTTATATTTACTATTTTATTTCTGTTTAGATATAGGGAAAAAATATATACAGATTGTGCCTTTAACATCACCCTTCAAACGAATGTGTTTTCCTCTTTCCACTGGGAGGAAACTTTGGCTTTTTGCTACTGTCATTTTAAACATGAAATGGTCAAATAGCTAACATCACTGATACCAGAACAAGAAGTGTTACTCAATATTGAAAAGAAGTATTACGAAGCGTGGGAGAATACAATCAGGAGGCAAAGAGTGAGTAAGAACAAAGATGTACAAGTCAGGAGAGGGCGACTGTGTCTTAGCATCCAACCGCTACACCCATCTGGCAGCAAAACAAATAGAACAACATTTATTTTAAAAACAAACAGGTTTCATATCAATGAGAGTTGTATTTTAAAATATATTTTGACTCAATCTGCCACTACATCCATGGTGTTCTGCTTACTAAAAGAAATGGAGAAAAACAACAGGGGCAATGTGCAGGACACACCAATGGCAGCCATTTCCTTTGTTCAAAGTTCAGCAAGTGATTGATTCCAAACTGTATGTTTGAGCTACAGCAACCAAATCCATTTCAGTGATAGCTTCCCTCAGAGAGTGAGCTTCCATGCAGAGAGCTCCCTCATCACCCTTCATAGGAGAAGCTTTCTAGAACACATGCAGCAAGGCTCAGTGATAATGCATTATTAGGATGAGATTAAAAGAAAAAAATGAAACAAACAGGACTTACCTTAATGAAAAAAAAAAAATTATAATTTAAACAATGATGCCATCTGTCTGTCTGTCTCTATTTATCAGTTCAAGTTTACTAAAATACATCTGGGAAAGGCTCATTTGGGCACAAGTGGCTTTCCATGCAGCTAACCAGTGCCAAATTTGCTCTCTCATTTTGTCTTTTTTGCTATCTGTGCCAGTTTAAGAGAAACATCCTGGCAGTACCAAGCACTTAAGGAAAAACATAAATAATGCATTTACAATATGTATACCTGTAAAGATAAATAAGAAAATCTGAAAGCAATAACATATTTAATTAATGATCAAGAGACCTTAGATCTTGTGCATACCCTGCAGTTTTAAATACAGTGCTTCTCAATCCTAAATTTACTCTGTTATGTCTCTGGATTGAACCGTATAAAATGAACTATTTATTTCCTTTAGTTCAAGACTGCATGGAGAACCTGGTCAATATGTTAAGTGTCATTATGTCAAGCTCTCACATACAAGAGTTTAGCGGAAGAATGCCTAAAATATTGATTCTCTTTAAAGGATTTCATTAAGGAAAATTTTTTAAAGATTTTGAACAACAGTTCAAGACTACAGGTCTTTTCATAAGACAACAGTCTTATAAGACACTCATGCTGTCAGAGTCCATCACTTTAAACAAAAAAAGACCCTCTGTGCAACCTGTGGGTGTAATTCTCTGGCAAGTTCATGAGTGCAAATAGAACGAGGAAGTATGTTCCGTTTTTAGCAGGTGGGAGACTTAAGATCTTTTAAATGCATTTATCAGTCATCCGTTCTTCATAAGGATACACAAATCCAGACAATATAGAACTAGCTAAGACTATACCTTTCTTAGCACAGCATTGCACATGCTTGGGAATGTTTCCCTGATAGAGATTTGGACATTTTCAGACCACCTCAAAATCCATTACATAAGATGCAAACATACAAATACATATAAATAGATAGGCATCACAGCCTGTTTGATCCAAAACTTAGAATTATTACAATTACTATGAAGCTGCATAACAGTTTGTTCAGTGGTTCCCACCACAAACCATTTAAAAATGTAGCAGAAACCAAGCCCTAGGAAGAAATTGATACACAAACAGAAAATAGGACCCATCAGTGGACAGAATGAGAGAGCAACATTATTACTCAAGTTGCAACAGTCCACCTGGGTAGGTGTCAGGTATTTTTGCTGCCAAGTTTAAAATGACACTGCTAAGTGTCATTTTAAAGAAGGGGTTTAAGTGACGGGACAAAGAGAATAATATGATAGTGGCAGCATTATTTACAGAAAGACTGTGCTTAAAACGTAAGAGAAAAACCACTACAATATCCTAAACTATTTGTTTTGCATTTACAAATTCAAAATACTTTCAGGATTGAGAAAGTAATTTGAAATGAAGCACAGTCTCAGAGGTTGAAAGATAACCAGTGAACATCTAAAATCTTTTATGTTCTAGATATTTACCATAAACCAACAGTTGTGGTAAGTGAACTTAACCTATGATCTGAAAAAAAGTGTATATAATGCCATCCTGTTTCCAGTGAGCAGTCACACTGGAATTACCTATCCATGATTTTCTGTGCAGCTTAAGATGTCCACTCAACGAGTAGTTCTAGGAGAGGCCCTACAACATTTTTGTCTTTCCTCTTCCACCTCAAAAAGGACAATGCAAATGTA